AAAGTAATGGAGTCGTAATAACCTAGAGCACTCTATAGTTTTAGCATGATAAAAGCAGGCGGCGAGTATTGTCGACAACAGCCCCTCTCAAGGCCGAGGCTAGCCATGGTGGTCGCCATGGAAACATCCTACACCATTCGGTGAGAGTTGAAGGTAACACCCACTCTCATTGTTCAACGTTCGCTGGGCTAATGCATATTCATAGTCACAGCGAAGCCATTACCGAATGCTTTTATTGGTCTGTGTATCCATCTGCTGCACAATACCATTACAAATGCTGCAATTCACCTATCTATGGCCTCTTAATTAAGAGGGACTAGATTAGTAACCTTGGCCGATTTGATTAATAAAGCAACAGGAGTGTATCTGATTTGCGTGGAAGCATGATTACATTTCGACGTGGCTGCAGTGTGCAAACTTGTGTAGGAAAAGAAGAAAGAGGCGACTCAGAACAGGTATCAGGATGAGGTTTTTAATCAGTTTGAAAGAAATATTGATGCGATTGCATAGCGTTTAACAGACGACACAAAAGCGATTTGCTTGTGAGATAATTGCTTCATCAGAAGTGAACAAGGTTTGCATGAATAAAAGATAAACTCAGAGCTGGAGGCCTTGAAACATATCAGCCTCCTACACAAAAACATTCACCTTAAGTTGGTCGGCGCAATCGCGTCCTACAGGGCTACGTTTGCAACAACAGAAATAATTCAACTCTCTGCTGAATTGGATTCGCATAGTTCGGGATGCACAAACACGGACAAAAAAAGACATGGCTAACAGCGCTTTTTGAATATTCAAAATGACAGGGTTTTTAAGCAAAGCCAGTTAATCAGCCGCATTGTTCACGGGTCCAAAATGCAGTTAATTATGAGCGTTAGCTACAAGTAATAATCAGATGCTACTTACCTGTCTAATGAATGGGAAAACGAACACATCTGGGCACAGATGAGCCTCTCGTTTGGTCAGAAGGTTTCTGCGTATCCACATGGACCTGGTCGCTGAGGTAGACTGTGACTTGTTGTCAGAAAGCAGAAGGAACAACAACAAAATCACTAGTCTTCCACAGCGACCCAGACCAACGTCTGCTGAAATGGAGGATGGTATCTTTAGAAACGGAGTCGTCGTTTTAATTTTAGTGGAAGGTATTGAGATTTACTTCAATATCTTGGCGGACAGGGCTTTCGGTGATCTTTTTCAATATGCTGGATTTATGTCCTGGGATAGAACCATCGGCATGCCCAACACGTTTTATAGGAGAAGGAATTGATTTACTGTCTATGAATATGAATATTTATTAAAAGCTCTTCTATATGTGTGCTTTTAGCTTCAGAAGTAACCCGAGCTAAAGCTCGCCAGAAAAGCTCACGCCAGCGTGAATCCGGAGAAATCCAAGACAAATGGGAGCTCATAATGTGGTATTACCTGAAGCACACCTGCCCTTTCTATTGAGAAGTCTTCACACACCCTGCAAAATGTCGCCCGTATCTGAAGGCTACTGTGGCAACCTCGTGTCCTCGTGTTCGGTCTGATGAGTCTCAAAATGAAAGATGATTCAGCCAGCAAGCCCCTAGTTCGAATAACAGGTCTGCTTGAAAAGGCCCGGAAAGAGCTTTAGGTGTAAATCACACAATGAATGGTTAACAAGTGGAAACCTTTGAAAAATAGAGAAGAAATGCAAGCATTTGTGAGAAAGGCAGGCAATATGAAGAATTAAAGTACAGTTCTTGTCCATGTTTGTCCTTGTTACATGAATTGAGAAAACATGTTTATTTATAAATATTTTTAAAGATATATTTGTAATAAGTTTTTATTTATAATTTGAAAAAATATTTGTATATCTTAATAAATATTTATCTACAGTATAAATAAAAGTATACAAATAAAAAATAGACAACATTTACATTTAAATAGTTAAAAAAAACTTTATAGTAAAATATTGCTACAAAAATGACTAAATATTTTTACTGACCATAAAACTGTAATTTGCTTTTAAAAATCTGCATTATTATGTATTCTGTGATATTCTATTATATTATTGTATTAAGTGTTATTATAATTTATAAATATAATTGATGTATTATACAATTATGTATTTTGCAATGTATTATTGCATTTTATATGTAGTAAAATATAAATAAAATATAATAATATTTTATAATATTACGTATATATTTAGATTTTTGCTTAGCTTAATGCAAGAAATATTCCACCTAGTCAAAGTTGTTTGAAGGCATGCAAGTCGGTCATTTAAATTCACTAAAGCGCTAAAGTTCACAAATGTTTTTTTTTTTTTTGCATTTGCTGTTAAATTTTGACCCCACATATAATTTTAACTCTACTATTCTCTACTGACTCTACTATTTTATGCAATTTTATTTAATTTTATTTAGCGCAACCATGTAAATCTGAGCGCCGGTGCTGCATAACCCCGCCCACCAAATCTCATTGGTCCAAAATCCTTTAAAACCAAACATTCCGTTCAAAACTTGTCCCACAGTTAGAACACTTAGTGTTTCCAAGCATTAAACTCCATTCCCATCAGTCCTGCGTTCCCCGAATTACCATTAGCCACCGAGGCAGTTACCCTTGGGTATAAAAGCCGGTCATAAACGAGAAAGCACTCGGATAAGCATGCTCACGACTCCCACGTAACGCCCGCCGTTCGGGAGATAATGAAGTGATCAGTTTTAAATGACAGATCAATGCACGGAAGAGAGAGCGACAGCAAAGGCGAGGCAGGAAAGGTGCAGCGATCTGGCCTTTTCTTATAGCTTGCACATCATTTCGCTAAAAACCTCTCCGCACACACACACACACACACATCCTAGACCTTTGATAGTGACATTTGAAGAAGGACATCTGAGTGCATTTAGTTCTACCTTCCTCGGAAGACACGAGTGACTGGATTGTGCCCCCTTCTCTCTGAAAGAAGCACTCTTATTTCCTTTCAGTCCAGAGGGCTGAACAAACAACAACAAAATCCAGCCGAAAAGCCTCCTTGGTCATGGAGCGCCTGGTGCGATGTAACACGAACCGCGAGATTCAGAAATATGTACGGCGCGCAACGTCAAACTCACCTGCGCCGACAACAAAAGCGTGACTGACAGGTGTTTTGGGATGGCAGGGGACCGTCAAAGCTAAGGTTACATCGGCCCATTCATTTTGTATAAGGCCCTGCTTGGGTTAGCACATACAAAGAGAAAGCAACAATCGGGAGGCCATTGTGTCGGAGATGGCATTGAGCGGAGACTGACAGCGCGATTCTTCAGCCCCCTGAAGGAGAGCTTCATTAGACATGTGGCTACTCGCCGCCACCACCTCATACTGAGGTGATGGATTACTTTCAGAGCCCAAGCTGCAAAAGGGAAATTAGCTCGGATCAACTATGGTTTTTCCCATTAAAAAAAACATATTAGCCATAATAGGCTCCTCAGTTCATCTGAATAAAGTCGAGGTGTCCTTTTTTGCTTCGGTCCCCTTCTCATTTTCTTTAAGTAGCCAAATCCGTTTCCACACGCACTTATACATTTACTTAAGATTCCAGAAAAGTGGGAGCAAGTGAGAAAAAGAAAAAAAGGTGAGAGTACCGTTCCTATTTATCTCCGGTAGGGAGTCTATCTGGAAAATAATGGGCTCTACGTTGAATAGTAATCCTTTATTAAGGCCAGTTAAATTATGCTCTTCAGTTTAGGATGGCCGCCTTTCACCGGGCACAATTAGAAAAACTGAACACGCCGTGCGGAGAAAAAGAGCTCGGTGTCCAGCCAAGAGGAGCGAGCATTCAATTCAGCTCCTGTAACACGTGAATTAAGACTAATGTCCAATTATACTGTCGCCGCCATTTGTCTAAAGATAATTCGATGGAGAGAGAGAAACCTTTTTCCTTTGAGAATGTGCATAGATCATAACCGCGGGGATTCGTCATGCTTGTAAAACTTTATTACGATCATTCTTGGCAGGCGGAAATCAATTGTCTCCATTTTTTGGATTGTTGAGCATGTTATAGGGATCTTTATAGGCTCGGGGATATGACAGTTTGAACGTCAGATGGATTCGTCGTGTCTCGCTAATGGAGAGACCTGAAATAGCTGGTCAGGCAGATGACGAGATGTTCATTTAATAGATGGTACTTTTTTCCTTCTCTACTCAGGTGTGGAACATGTATTGGGGAAAGAAAACAATTAAAAAATGCATTAGGGCAGCCGATTATGGAGCTGAGATGGCAGATAATGATGTCAGTTAGCTTAGAAATCTTGTCGGAGACGTGTTAGACTCATTCAGATGTTTAAATGAAAATGTTCCACGGCAGATGTGGAACGCTGATAATGACTAATTGCAAAAAAAAAAAAAATGCAATTATTCAACCAGTAACTACGAAAGCACCTTTTTCCATCTGAAGCGATTAATATATCCCCAGAGTTCAGGTATGAATTGGTTTTCGATTTTAGGAAAACAAAAACGAAAAAAAGAAATAAAAAATTAAAAAGAATGTGTATATAATTATGTAATTATATAAATCCATAGATATTTTGATTTATTATTTAATTCATTTGATATGATAAAAACTAAATATTTAAATAATAATTTTCTTAAAAGAACATAAAAAAAAACACTTTTACTAATCCACACACCTTGAGTTGGCAGAGTGCAGTGATTTCACCTTTTTTGATAACGGAGAAGGCAACCATAGTGCAAAAAAACCCCTCAAAATATGTATTACTCGGTGTGAGAACACATATAGCTAGTTATCTTGCTCGTTAGCTCACTAACTCCAACTATGCATCAAAAAAATCGTCCTGATATATTTCTTTAATGCAATAACACCACAGTAACACGTCACGTCGGCCCCCAACCCGGCTGGCCACCTCTCCTAATTTGATTCCCTTCACATGAACCCATCCTTTGAGGGAACATAGCAGGAACACCTTACGTGGCTGTTCAGTCACCCCTTAAAATTGTTACCTCTCTCACTCTTTTCCTCTCTCTCTCTCTCTCCCCAGGTGCTGAGCTGAGCTGATTAGGTGGGTGACTTACAGTGACGGCGGTGACTTCCCACTTCCTACTCTCTCTCCCGCTCCGTCTCCCGCTCCCTCTCTCTCTATATATTTGAGGAAGAAACACTGCAGAGATGCTTGAATCCATCTCTTACTGATTTGCTGAGTGCTGCTGGGTGGGGCTGAGAGAGCTGCTGAGCGGATGGTGGTTCCTCAGCATTGTTCCTGTAGTTACAAATCTACAATAGAAAAGTTGACGAGAAATTTACAGTCTGGAATCAGACATGCTGCAAGTCACGACTAAATAAAATTTCTTATGTTAATAGTAAAGATTTGGTGGAATAAAGAAACATGTTTTATACAGTTGCATCCACTAGTGAAAATGGCATTTTGCATTTTAAAAATTTTATTGCAGTTTTTATCCATTAAAAAGTATATTATCAGAGTAACACTTTGAGTGAAAATTCAATTGAAATAAATAAATAACATGTTTGTATGTTCGTTTTGATTTGACAAAAAATTTAATAAAAGTAATATATATATATTGCATGCATTTGCAATTCATTTATACATAATAATTAATGCAATATTCTGAGACCATTTTAGTTTTGATATACAATTTTCTTTTGAAATACAAAAGCAACTGTGATCTGAATTTAAAACAATGATAAACGATGGTTAAATTAATAACATAGCCCTCTCACCCTCTTCCCCAATTTAAATAGCTTTGGTTACGTTTCACAAGCAACATCTGTTTTGACCACAGCTGTTACAGATGTAACGGTACATCGGATAATTGTTATTGTTGTTAATATGTGCGGGCCGGAGTGTGGTTGTCAGTCAGTGGTGTACAGACCGATTTCTCGGTAATTAACGCAGGTAAGAGCATATGATTTACGGTAATTGCCTTGACAAGGGGGCTGAGTGAAGCTACACTTAATTACCTGAACATGCTCTCTCACAGAAGCCCAGTCAAAACGACCTTTTACCGTTTTTTCCTTTTATTTTACAGTGCTGAAATTGGAGAGATATGGAGGTGGTGAATTTGCTCCGCACCCCCCAATCTGCCTGTCAGAGGGATGCTGAAAATTTTCGGTTTGAGGTAACTGGCAGTCATGAGAGTGCACATATCTGCGGTTTTCATGTTTGTCTGTGATAACTCTGCACTTTTAGATAAACACATTCAGATTTCACCGAAAACTTTCTATATGGAAAGTGTCTGGTCTATTTAAAGAGACACAATGTTGCAAACCCTCTGATTCAGTTAAGATTTTTTCAGCTGCAATCAGATTACCTGGATTGTACATTCATGGCAAACCATCTAAGCTTGTTTTTATAGCAGCAAAAATCAATTCTGCCATTTTCAAAACTGCAGAATGTCGCAATGAAGTTGACCTCATGGCCGTTGTGCTCAAATCGAATCTGATTGTCTCTTATAGTCATCGGCGTCAATTTAATACGCTGTGCGTTTCCGAACAGGCACGTCTCTTGTTAATCAATAGGTAGAAATTTTATTTAACACATTTCGGCTGCATTCAACTAGATTTAAGCACCGTTTCCTGGACGCGTCACGCCACCTGTCGCTATCAAAACACTTGGATGGCGAAAAAGAGATTCTAGTGCTAAAACCTGAAGGGATGGAGAGGGTGGTGAAGACCGCTGTCACGAATTGAGTGACGGTTTAGAACGAGTGTTAAAAACGGCAACATGACAGTATGCGCCACGTGACCGTGTGCTATTGTGTGGGGGAAGTGCGGCGACTCCTGCTAGCGGGGTGTTTCCTGGGGTGGACGGCGAGGAGCGCTAGCGATCAGTGGGAGAGCAGTAGATACGTCTATGTGAACTCGAGCTTTCGCCGTCAGTCAGGGCCCCTCGCTGGGCCCACCTCTGATGTCGAATTTCAGTCTGACTTTACTCTGCAACCCCCTTCCTTTCCACCCCCACCCCCATTCCACAGATAGGTCGCTGGGCAGTTTATGGCACCGCAGCGCTGAGGCGAAATGCTTTTTGTCCCTCTGTTGTGTTTTTGTGTACACTCGCCATGCTCCGCGGCACTGGCGTGCATCTGTGCTCGGTGCCGAACAAAGGTCCATAGCAACAGGAGGATCGCGGCAACTGGATACCACGCCTGTTTGATCTTTAAGACCTCTCCTTGATAAGTGGCCGTAACCAGGGCAACCAGGACGAAAGGGTTCAATGCATTGTTTCAATAGGTAGGGCTTAGGTAGGCAGCACAGGTCAGGATTTATGCTGGAGTACAAATAAAAAGGGTAAGAATTACATTTTGGCCAATACCGATAAGCTTATAGTTGTATCTTATTATTATATATATATATTTCCCTTTATACTGACTTAGTTATATTTTAGATAAATATATACATTTATTTACAATATATACTTGTTTCCCCATATTATTAGTGTTTAAAAAATTTCGCTGAGTGTTAAATGACAGCAAAGCTAATCTAAATGTAAAAATAGGGAAAATGAGCATCCGCAATGTAATATTCAATATCAGCTGATACCAATAAGCAATAATAAATCAATCATATAAAATAAATAAATAAAATAAAATAATATTTTACTTATTTAATTTGTAGCCTATCATTATCTATCTGTCTGTCTGTCTGTACACACACACACTAATATCGTCCACTATATTGAGCTCTATTTTGCAGTTAAAATGTTAAGGATGCATTAGCAAATTCATACTCACACACCACCAACAGATGATGTCAGCGCTTCTCCTCACAGTTTAGTGAAAACCTGGAAAAAAAACACAGAAATTGTCATGGTTACATAATGGATAACTGCACATATCGACTCGCATTCTACATTCATTTCAAGTCTCAGTGGTCGATGTTTATCTGTAATTAAAACTAGAAAGGAAAAGATATATCGCAATATCTCTTCCGAGACCTGCTCTGATTTGCACGACATACATGCACCATCTCCTCCACAGCAGCCGAACCCTGCTGCGCACAATCTTAGTCCTGCTCACTTCCTGCTTTGTTATTCAATTGCACGGCCTAACAGACACTCTCTCACCGAGAGGAAAGCCGAGCTTCTTAGCCTACATACCCTTGGGATCCGTGTCCGTGGAGGCGAATGACACATTGGACCATGAATAAGTGTCCGTTTGGAGACAGGAAAACATTTGCATTCTGAACTAGATGGCCGAAAACTTGAGGATATTTGACTTCAGTGAAGGTTTTGCTGGATCACTGGTGATTAATTTGGGGGAAAATAAATAAATAAATATATATAAATAAATAAATATATATATATAATTTTTGTAATTAGTTTATTTTATAAGTTTCATATATTAAAGAAGTTCTTCAACTAGATAAAGTATAGTTAATCGCTAAAATTTTTTCTTTCTGTAGCAGACAATGTACCAGCAGATTTGGTTTAAGGCCTTACGCTCCTCGTCAGCCTCTCACCGACCCCTCCCATCGCCTCCAGTCCCCCAGTGGACAGCTGCTCCACAGCTCCACGTCCCCCACTGCTAGACTGTCACTGGCAGTGGCTGATTCGCACTTCAAACACAGCCACAAATGGCCATCACTTGTACGCAGATTCTCTCACGTTTTGATGTCCGACCTACTCTGGAAAATGCGTATGTGGAAAAGCGGTTTGCCATCTTCAAGGTTAGGGGCCAACGTGAAAATGGCTGCGTTAAAAGGCCCTTGAGGTCTTGATGATGCTTCAGTAGATTCCACAATATTACACAAGGCTACCCTGCAGTCTAATATCGCTCTGAAATATCAACACCAAACAAGAGGTGCCTGAAAGGTCCCTGAAGCTCAAATCCAATTCAGAGCAACAGTTCAAATGCACAGCGCTGTGAACTCAAACACTATCTAGAAGGAACCTGTTACCGCCGGGGAGCTAAGTAAGCAGTGGCTCTCTTAGGATTTATATATATTTAAACAGCTGTTATTTGATATTGGATTGGGGAGTGCTATAACACAAGGCGAGCTGTAACACTGTCAGTTTAACTGATTAGAAATCACTATCGTACATGACCACCATCCTCCTGATAAAAATACACAGAACAACTTTGAGGTTAAAAGTAGAACCGAATGCCTTGGTTATAATTTGCGATTAAGTAAAAGGATTGTAAAATCAAAGAACAGGTTTCACCTGATTCAGATTCTCATTTAGTTTGATATTTAACATTCACATTTTTTAGTACACTGTTTGTTAGCAAGTGTATTTCTGTATTAGTATAACATTTAACTAAATGTTTGCCATATGGCCACTACTTTGAATTAAAATAAAATTAGAATAACGATGAGAGCAAAATAAATGTATAATGCTAATGCTACAATCCATTTTAGGACATAAATCATAAATAAAACAGTTTAGAGATTAATTGTATGTTTCTAAACTACTTGGATATAATATCCGCATATCTGTTAGCTACAAATTCAAGTATGAGCTATGTAATGCAAAAAATACCAAGTAACAGACGTTTAAACAAAATGCTTTGTTTGTCACCTTTTGTCTGTCACTTTAAATGGATCCACTGAATAAAAACAAATGTTAAAAACGATGAAGACCACGTTTAACGTCTAGTTTAGTGTATCTGGTGACAAAGTGAGTTTATCTACATGTGAAAAGTCAACACACTGTGTTTTATTCAGACCTACTCCAGTATTTTGGTAACCAAGCTGCATCTAATTGCATTAATTGCGCATATCCTCTTGTTTGAACACCTGCTCTGAACGATTTTTTTTTCTTGCTTGCGAAGTACAGACCGCGACATGCACCGAACCATTTGGGCTGCCATTTCTGGAAGTGTTTTTCCATGTAAATGTGTCATCACGACGCTCACAGACAACCTGTCACCTCCGCCTGCTCGCGCGCATCCATAGCGACCGCACGTGATCGATGAGTTCTGAGGCGCAGCCACGCGCCAATGAAACAGCGAGAAATTATCGATAATTTCGCTGTTTGTTATCTACTATTAAGCTTTTCTGCGATTGTTTGTCAGTTTATAGGTGGGAGACTTGTTCAGTTAGGTTTAATCAAGCTTTATTGGAGTACTAAAGATTTTTAGTTTATATTTCGGTGTACGTGAGACCTGGAAATGTAGCTAACGCGTTTTGTTGACAGGTCTGTAACTCTTTTTTTTTGCTACTAGTCTGAAACTTTGATAGAATATTACAATATTTATATGCTTAAAATTGATCTACTATAGATATTTACAAAGTATCCCTAAATAATGCCAACCTTTACAACCACATTAACCATGGTTTTATTGTAGTAAAAGTATAGACACCATGGTCTTTTGGCGTGTTGATTACCATTTGTATAACCACAATTTTACTACAAATGCCACGGTTAAACTATGGTTAGTGTAGCAAAACCATGGTTAATTTGTGGTTACCATGGTTTAACTATAGTGACCATGGTCTTTGGTTTTATTTGTAGTAAAACCATGGTTAAATTTCGTAAGGGAAGGGTGCTGTTGTTACAACCTTCCTCACTGTCCACTGTTACACTAACATAAAACATTAATGTGTATGATGTTTTTATTCATTTTAATTCAAAAAGCAAACAAAATTTGAAACAAATATATAAAAATACATCAAATGCAGACAAACAACTCGTAGAGTGTGTCCATGTAATGTTTCTCATTTCGTGGATCCAGTTTAAGTGTTAAAAAGTGCTGAAAGTGTTACAACCCTTCATGTCTGCTCTGCCATGATATTTCTAGTTTTCAAAACGTAGATGAAAAGCTTAAGTGGATTCTATATATCAAACCAATGTTTCTTACCTCGTTTTTTTTCTGAAGAAAAAAAAAAAATCAAACAAGACACCCACCCACCTTAGAAGGGTGGTGGTCAATGTAAGATTCTCCTCTGTAGCTCATTTCTAATTTGATAAACTGATGGTCTTACAACTCCCCGGTCTCTCCTACACACATAATGTATGTCTGTAAATCAGATAGGACCACAAGGTTGACCAACCATAATTACATACAGCATACCTAATTTAATTTCCTGACAGATAACACCGTTTATTTATTATATTTGTAATGAAGAGTGGTAATCAATATTGCACAGAACATCTCCGAGTGAGATTTATCTGTGCATCATCGAGAGACAAAAGTGGAATCATTTTTAAGAATCTCACAATATGCACTTTGAACGCGTCAGCATCTAACAGGTGGTTCAGAACATCTGTTCAGTGCTTAAGAGGTTTGTCACTAAGCCCCACGCAAGAAATAATTCATTCTGACTAGATTAACCAGCCTACAGCTCAGTCTAATTTATGTTCATCTAGAAAAAAGCTTTATTTTATCTTTTTTTCTCCATTGTGTGTACAACAGCATCTCGGTTTCCACCCATTTAAATAATCATTTAAACTCTATGCATTTCTTCATCACCAAAAAGTGCATTAAATTCACTGCTGCACGTTGCAACTTGCAACAAATAAAATTTGGTTTTTAATTTAAGTGCACTAAATAGTGCCTTGATCTATATACACCCACAATAGTATACATTCAGAAACCAAAAGCTATCAGGAGGAATTCTTGGGGGTCAAAACTGCAATTTTCTCAGGGAGGCTTTAACATTAGGGCATCTACTTCCAAATAAATCATTCATTTGCTAAATTGTCCCGGGGGCTGATCCCGTGCTGTTGGAAATGATTGCCATTGACTCCCTTGTTCTGTGCTGTGACACTGGGAGCTGTCCAGCACTGTGGTGCTGAAATTGATTGAAGTGCAGACGCCTAGCGAATATCCGGCGGAAGCTAATTATATGCGCCCTTTTACTCACATTTTTTTTTGTGAGTGGGCATTGAGCACGTTGTTTTCGATGTTTTCAAGAGTTCATCAACCTCCTTGATGTTTTTTTTCACCTTTTTTACATTCCGCTTGTGGAAAACGGGCACTTTTGCAAAGCATAGAGCGTTTTAACAATTATTTTCCCTTGTAAATGCATATACACAACAAACTTACCTCTAACCTATTTTATGTTTTTAGTGTTCTAAGAGGTCAAATTTAAAATGTAAAAAAATTAAAATGCTGGTATCATTTGCTTGCCCTCATGTCATTCAATATCTATTTTTGTTTTTTGCTATGAAGTAAAACAGAGATGTTAAGCAGCTTTAGTCAGTATTCAGTGGAGCAAGATGCAATGAAAACAAATGGTGACTGAGGCTGTCAGTTCGTAACATCATCTTTTGTCTTCCACATTCAGTTTGGAATGACATGAGGGTGAGTAAATGGCTGAATTAGAATTTTTTGCCTGAACTATCCCTTCAGGCAAGCCTTTTTTTCTTCTTCGTACTGAACGAGATATGAATGACTCCACACACAAGCCCACCTGGAGATGTGTGAATTCACATATTCCCCCCGAGGGCTGGAGTTCAGCCTTCACTTCATTGCATTAAATTGCCATCGGAGTACATTGGAGCTAAACGTTGAGGGAAGGCCACCAGGATCACCTCTATATGATTAGCGCCGGCAGAAAGATGAGGATGTAGAGGACTGCTCTGATATTGGATTTGCCAAGGATAACTATAATAAACAGCTCTTCAAATCTAATTGTAGTCATTCGCTCAACACACCAGCTGGGGAATTAGGGATCGTGAAGGAGCTCCTCTCCTATAATCAATAGAAGTTTTGCAAAAGCATATTGACTTGGGGGGAGAACGATTATTTTGATTGAATAGAAGATAGAACAGAATTAACAGTAATGAATAATGTCGCCGTTTTTGAACCGGAGGCTTTCAACAGAGAAAAAATAAGCTGACAAACACTGCGAAGTCATTTATAAAGGGGTGCATTCATAGGCTGGCTTCACAATAGACGTCCATCATGTTTTACACAGAGATTCGGCATGCAAATCCCACCGCAAATTACATCTAAGTGACTTAGACATGCTGATGCTCTTGTCACCTGTTGATCAGGATCATCAACACTTGATGTAACTTTCCCCACAACACACACATTTTATTTTTGTGCAAGAAATGCGACTGACACCAAATGCATTCGGATTCGACATCACAGTCGTTGTAGTTTATATTCTAGACACATTTTGTTACAAAATCGAATCATTAGTTTCCTAATATTTTGATTAAAACAAACAAACAAGATTTCTGAATTTGATAAACACATGACTCGGATCGCTATAGGGCGTTGGATGTTTAAAGAAAAATAATTTAAAGATCTTAAATGAACTCTATCCTCACCACTTTGTTTCTGGTAGACATCTCGAAAAGCTCTTTTTCTGTTACAGAAAGATATGAAATAAAGGATATCTTACGTGGCTTTGCTGATGCGCTTCGGAGGACGCTTCGCTGGAGATGACAGCCCGTCTTCTTCTCTCCATGTGCTGTAACAAAAGCATCCCATACATACGAAGCCTGTCCCTTTAAAGCCTTGCTGCATCCCTGCAGGTGGCCTGTCAATTTAGCGGATCCGAATGACGTCACTGCATGGCTGGAAAAACTGTAAGTCAACTTTCATAATAAAAGTCAATCGGGATTTTATTTTAGTGTTCCTTTACATTTAAAATGAGCCTGTTGTTAAAAATAAATCATTCAAATAAATAAAAAGTCAATAAACCTAAGAATGTTTGCTTGTTTTATCTGGGTTAAGATTATTTCCCTGCTTGGCTATGCTCATCTAGCTGCTCTTTGGTTGTGTAAGATGGTCTCCTGAAGATGACCAGCTAATAGTGACCAAACTCATTCTAAAAGCAGCTAGCAGACCAGCCTGACCAGCAGTGTTAGTATTGTTAAAGTAAATTAAAACAAAAAGTAAATTTGTGTGTTCAGTGACTGTAATAAATATAAAAACATACATAATTGTGAGATTTGTGAACAAAAATGAGCTGAAACCAAAATATATTTTCATTTTTTGTTCATGTATGTATTTATTTGTTGCCAGGGATGACAACAAAACGTATTAAAATACAATAAAAATAACCACAAAGTAATTTTTAGATTGTTTTTGATACGCTTTGTTATGGTGTTTTAAACCTTTGCAACTCACTATGATTAAATATGAACAATGCACAAAAGTGTGTTTTATGTAGGCTACTTTATATCTTTCTCATACTCCATTTATGTTTTAATAAAAGATGTGAATAGGCTGAACTTAAAAAAAAAAATAGGTAAATGTCTGTGTTAAATGCAATGACATTAAATAATTTCCAGTTTAAATAAATCTCAAGTAAACTGCAAAAATAACTGTTGCCGAAACAAAATGTTAAAACTAAAATAAAAACTAAATGTACCAAAAAAAATATAAAAATAAATTCAACGGAAGTTGAAAATTGTAATAATAATAACAATAAAGAAACAATTAAAAATAAATTCAAAACTACAATGAAAAAATTGGTGTAAAATTGCTAGTAAAATTCACAAACAATTACAAAAAACAAAGGGAAAGTAACATTAAATTAAACATGAAATTTTAAAGTAGAAAAATTTAAATCGTGTTTTTTTTTAAAACCTACTCCAAGAATCTGTTTTATTTACAACTTCAAAAAATATATTTTTTTTACCTTGTATAAGAACCTTGCTGACCAGGATGGGAGCCCCCCATGGGAGGCCGCCCCCCCCCACCAACAGCCTATATGGTTATACAGAATTGATGTCTTCTTTCATTATATATTTGTTTGTGTGCATGCTGATTAGCTCACCACCATAAATAGATGACACAGCATCAGCAGCCAGGAAGACTGTGAAGGTTAAAAACATGCAATTAATGTTTGTAATGTAAAGCGCCCTCCTACACACATCATGATTTAGATGCACACAGCGTGTCACTTGGCATTGTGCTTTTCCTTGGCATCTCTAAATTTGTCTAGTCACAACTACAATATTTTATAAGGGCATTTCAGTTTGTGCATGTTCAATAAAACACAGCAGGCTATTTATAGGCTATATTCTTTTTGTTCATGCACAGTTACTATCATATCAATCCTGGTCTTGCTCGTTTTGAATGTCTCTCTTATCTGACACACCCAGTTCAGGTTATGGAGCTTGTACTAATGATCAAATGATATAAATCATGTGTGTTAAATAAGGCACACATTCAAACCACTGTATATATGAATTGCATGTCAATTGCATTTCATTATAAACTCATATGCTTTTGTATGGATGCAAATCAGTAAATCAGGTTTTAAGATTAATGTTTGACACCTCAGTCGCCTTTATCTGCTATAATGACCTCAAATTTGGCAAAGTCTTAAAATTGCACAATGCACAATGAAGCGTTCTGTCCTATTGAAGGGCTTTGATTAACTTTGGTCAGGGTGCACCACAGCCCTGCGTGAAGCAAATCGGTACCAGCTTTTTTTTTGTCTTTTTCTTGCACTGTTCATTTTAACAAGTGTCAGGGGAGGCACATTGTTGGCTTTAGCAGAAGGAAAAAATGCACAAAATAACACAAAATAATCCCTATTTGGGTAACTAATTACAGTTAATATGCAAACAGGTGTATATTAAACCCATAACTGAGGCACTTTTGTCATAGTCACATTTTATCGACTGGATTCAGCCCAAGTTACTGATCTGCTTCCGATGAATACACAGTGATTTCATATAATGTCTTTTTTTTGCTTGTTTGAATAAGTAGATACGGCACACACTGTCAAAACATTACAAAAATCAGCGAGGAGCCATTTTCAAGGTTTTTTTTTTTTTTTTTAAAGAACTAGTGATGACACAGCATCAGCAGCCAGGAAGACTGTGAAGGTTAAAAACATGCAATTAATGTTTGTAATGTAAAGCGCCCTCCTACACACATCATGATTTAGATGCACACAGCGTGTCACTTGGCATTGTGCTTTTCCTTGGCATCTCTAAATTTGTCTAGTCACAACTACAATATTTTATAAGGGCATTTCAGTTTGTGCATGTTCAATAAAACACAGCAGGCTATTTATAGGCTATATTCTTTTTGTTCATGCACAGTTACTATCATATCAATCCTGGTCTTGCTCGTTTTGAATGTCTCTCTTATCTGACACACCCAGTTCAGGTTATGGAGCTTGTACTAATGATCAAATGATATAAATCATGTGTGTTAAATAAGGCACACATTCAAACCACTGTATATATGAATTGCATGTCAATTGCATTTCATTATAAACTCATATGCTTTTGTATGGATGCAAATCAGTAAATCAGGTTTTAAGATTAATGTTTGACACCTCAGTCGCCTTTATCTGCTATAATGACCTCAAATTTGGCAAAGTCTTAAAATTGCACAATGCACAATGAAGCGTTCTGTCCTATTGAAGGGCTTTGATTAACTTTGGTCAGGGTGCACCACAGCCCTGCGTGAAGCAAATCGGTACCAGCTTTTTTTTTGTCTTTTTCTTGCACTGTTCATTTTAACAAGTGTCAGGGGAGGCACATTGTTGGCTTTAGCAGAAGGAAAAAATGCACAAAATAACACAAAATAATCCCTATTTGGGTAACTAATTACAGTTAATATGCAAACAGGTGTATATTAAACCCATAACTGAGGCACTTTTGTCATAGTCACATTTTATCGACTGGATTCAGCCCAAGTTACTGATCTGCTTCCGATGAATACACAGTGATTTCATATAATGTCTTTTTTTTGCTTGTTTGAATAAGTAGATACGGCACACACTGTCAAAACATTACAAAAATCAGCGAGGAGCCATTTTCAAGGTTTTTTTTTTTTTTTTAAAGAACTAGTTGTTCGTGTATAATTAGGCAAATATAATATGCATCACTTACTGTAATGTTTATTTATTCATTAATATTTAAATGCGTTTTGCTGCAGATTCAGAGCATATTTTGCCCCCAGCCACATTTACACACAGTTTGGGCTAATTTTAAAAGAAACAGCATGCAATAACCAAGTGGACTTTTTATTTTGACAATTTTTATGGAGGAATTATCAGGTTTAGTCTTTGCTTCAAATGCTCTGCTCTGCTCCGCTTCCTGCTCTTTTATTCATTATTTTTACGAGGCTCAACCACATTTACCCTTTATTAATTTGATTTTTGACAAATCAATAATTGAGTTTAAATCAGGTTAACCATCTTTCCAGCTTGCTGAATGCTGGCAATTTTCAGGTAAACCTGATAAGAATCTTCAAAAGTTCTGAGAGAGCTGATTTTTTAAAAGCTGTTGGTATGAAATAATGTATAAAATGTTGCATGTTTAATGAGATATTTGTTTATTTGAAGCATGCACTGAATTCATACGGTCTTTTAGGATGTGACAAATCCAGGATGCTAATTTCCGAGCTCATTAAATGGACACCTAATGACCGTTTGTCCTCAGTAAGTGAGATCGATGTGAGTCCTCAGTGTGTGCTGAGGAAGTGAAGATGTTACGCAATTGGAGAAGACACTGATGAGTCCGCAGAGGAGGTGCCCCGTTCTTGCTTCGACTTTATTTAAATGCTAGTCTATGCTTGTTTACAAAACCTACACACGTTTATGCTGTGGTAAAGAAGGGCTGTTGTAAGTCGTAATGGCTTTGATTAATTCCAGAAGACATTAGAGCAGTATAGATCTGTGTGTCCATCATCTTGCAACTGATCTAACGTCTTATGGCTTTACATTTTCTTGGCTAATGTCCAAAGGGAAGCAACAGGCCTGTGCATTTCCCCTCTGAAAATTTAAGTACGATTTTGTTTGTCATTTTTCCTCACCTGAATCGAACCTCTTTTCCCTGTTAAATTTAGCACATTCTTGTTTCAGCCCAGAACCTTTGTGAGCTTCATAAGATGGACCAATTTTAAATGCCAGAATCTCCTTCACAATAATAAATGGGATTAAAGTGCTGTCTATGCTCAACAAAGAAATGGGGAAATTATGTTTTTACCTTAGCATGAATTTTATCCACTTAGGAGACGACAACTGCAAGGAAGTGCAGACAGCCATTTTACATTTCCATAATTTGGTTGAAAAAAGCCACAAGAGGTGTATTTTCAGGCACAAATGTGCTATTTGTCCCCCCCCATTGTGTTTCCAGTACTATTCTGGTGTACTCCGGGACTGAAATGTTTGGTTCATCATGTTGTTTTGTCAGGACTTTGTGCATTTCTCTGCCATTCTACTGTACATTATCAGGTATTTGCATGATTGTTTTTGTATTTCAGCACTGTTTCTTCAACCTTTTTACCACAAGGCTGCTTGTATGACAGAGGCCATCGAGTAGGTACAGTCATTTTGTTTATTTGATTTAGCAAGGAGGAATTTTAAAGCAGTGAAGCATGAATCCCCGGTGCTTTTTTGCACGCGCTGATCACAGATTTGAAGTGCACGGTTGTTGAGAGGGTTTGTAAACAATACTGTAGCTGCATCATTCGATCTTAAGCATAAATATGAGATACAAAGAGCATGTCCGAAGGGCACAAGTGTTTGGAGATTTGTGTCCTCCTTAATCACTATTAATCGCTATTTTTGCTGTCACACCACACAAATGACATGTGGGTAATTAGGACCAAATTAAGAGGGTATTTATCATGGAGATTGCAATCAATTAATTGTATATATATATATATATATATATATATGTATATATAATTTAAACTTTTTTACAGTCTTTAGGGTTTTACCTTGTCATCTGATGTGCTGAAAAGAGTTTGTTTGGCATCCCAAAGCAAACCTAATTATATAAATGAATGTATTTATAGACTTTTTATATATATATATATACACATAATTCTTAATTTATATGCGCCAGTTGCGGAGGCAAATCTCCCGATTTTAAGGGTCAGCTAGGCAGAGGCGGTTCAAAAGTCACATTGACAGATGTCCGTATCAGTGTTATGCAAACCTGTACAGAGCGATTCCTTGTTTAGCTAAGCGGCCCATAAGTAATTCATTGTATTTAGCGAGAAGCAGCATATGACAGAGCTCATCGTGTGGGTACCGTCATTTTGTTTATTTGATTTAGCAAGGAGGAATTTTAAAGCAGTGAAGCATGAATCCCCGGTGCTTTTTTGCACGCGCTGATCACAGATTTGAAGTGCACGGTTGTTGAGAGGGTTTGTAAACAATACTGTAGCTGCATCATTCGATCTTAAGCATAAATATGAGATACAAAGAGCATGTCCGAAGGGCACAAGTGTTTGGAGATTTGTGTCCTCCTTAATCACTATTAATCGCTATTTTTGCTGTCACACCACACAAATGACATGTGGGTAATTAGGACCAAATTAAGAGGGTATTTATCATGGAGATTGCAATCAATTAATTAAAACCAATAATCTCGATATGTGCAAATTGGCATTTGGTATACAATGTAATTGTCAAACTGCATGCATGGAAAACCAGAGACAATTTGAGATCCAATTTGTTGTAGGGATGAAAGTGCCCTCTTAAAAATTAAAAAAGTGTCAGATCACACAGCTGCTTCACGTGCTCAATATTGTAGCCAAAATTATTATATATTTATAATAAATAAATATAATGAAATATATATTTATAACAGAAGATAAAAAGCACAGTTTTAAAGGGAGAATCAATGTACAAATGAGGTCTTATTACTAATTTCTAATCTGTTCGGCAGCCCCTGCAAGGAAACCCCGATTACCTGGTAGAAGGTGCAGCTTTTCCAGGTAACCGTGCTAATCAGCTAATGATCTCAGCGCTGAAGATTATTTTCCCAGCATTCATGTTTGTGGGGAGGGATTTTGCAAAATCTGGCGCCCGTACATCAAGTCTGGCAAGAAATGTATAAAGTCCTCTGGCAAACATGGGTGGAGAGAACCACAAGCAGCTCAACAAGTTCTTCTGACACTAATGTTTCCTTCACTGGCACTAATAATAGAAAAGTGCCCATCAATTTCCTTTCACCTGTGATCCCCAAGTGGCAGAAATTGCCTCTGCACACTGATGGCCGGCTCTCTCGTCACTGGTGTGGTGCAGCGCTCAGGCTTCCCTGCTGAGAACCCCCTTAGCTTTCTTAAGGGGTGAGAGGGTAATTCTGCCTGAGTATGGTTTCTGCACTTGACCTCTCTTTGCCTCCCTTTAAAGAGCGTGTTTTGATGAAATGGTGAAATCATTACTTTCCAAACTTCTGGTCCATCTCTGCTGACCTAAACTGAGCGGTGTCCTATCTGAAAAGCTGCAGATATTGTCTTACTTGCTCTTCCACTCTGGCCCCCGGAGCCCCATAAAAGCTTGAGATTTGAGATCCATACAAGCAAAAAAAAGAAAACAGGGCTCTGAAGCAATCAGCGAGTGCTAAGGAGAGTGGCCGCAATTACAGAAATGCAAGACAAAAGCCATTTCAAGGCACTCGCCTAAACTTTTTCATCCTCATCTGGTACAATTCTTTCCCATCTTTTCTTTACTCCGGATGACCAAATACAAGGTCTTGTGGGATGTGACATTGTGGCATTATTGCAGTATTTTAACCTACACTGTTAAAAATAAAGGTTCCAAAAAGGGGCTTTTCGCAGCAATGCCATACATTCTTATAAAATATAGGTTCTTAATTGGCATCTGTGGTTCCACGAAGAACCTTCAACATCCGTGGAACCTTTCCACTGCACTAAAGGTTCTTTATAGTTAATATATACTTTATAGTTATATATTTAAAATGGTTCTTCTACTCTCTTAAAAATAAAAAGTTCCAAAAGGGCGATTTCGCAGTGATACCATAGAAGAACCTTTGGGGAACCTTCTTAAAAGATCCATTTTAAAAATATAAAGATTCTTTTTCCAACTATAAAGAATCTTTTGTGGAATGGAAAGGTTCTATGAATGTTAAAGGGATAGTAATGAAAATTCTGTTATTAATTACTCACCCTCATGTTGTTCAACAGAGAGGATGACTTACCATTTTTACACAAAAAGTATTCTCGTAGCTTCATAAAATTACGGTTGAACCACTGATGTCACATGGACTATTTTAACGATGTCCTTACTACCTTTCTGGGCCTTGAACGTGCATCCTTGCTGTCTATGCAGGGTCAGAAAGCTCTCGGATTTCATCAAAAATATTTTAATTTGTGTTCCAAAGATGAACAAAGGTCTTACGGGTTTGGAACGGCATGAGGGTGAGTAATTAATGACAGAATTTTCATTTTTGGGTGAACTATCCCTTTAAAGGTTATTCATGGAGCTATAGATGCATCGCTATGAAAACCCTTTTGGAATTATACTTTTTTTGAGTTTAGAAGAACCATTTCGGGTTCCCCAAAGAACCTTATAGTGAACAGTTTAGTAAACTTTAAAGTGTACACATTTTTTTTTTTAATCTAAAGAATCTTTTTTCCCACTATAAAAACTGGAATGAACCTTGTGGAATGGAAAAGTTCCATGGTTGTTAAAGATTTTTCATAGAACCATGGAACCTTGGGTGACCAAATTCAAGGTGTTGCCAGATGCGACCATGCAGTAAATCAACCAACACTCTTAAAAATAAAGGTTCCAAAAGTGGGTTTTTATCAATGATACCATTAAAGAGCGAGCAGTTTCAGTAAGCAGTTCTTAAACAAAGAACATTTTTGCACTATAAAAAACCTTTAGTGCAATGGAAAGGTTTCCTGGACATTAAAGGTTATTCCTGGAACCATCGATGCCAATAAAAAAAAAACTTTATATTTAAGAGTGTACCATAAGATAATCACTAGTGGGTCTTGTCGCCTACAATCATTCACAGTCTTTTATAAAAAAGACTGAATGCATAAGAAAGGTGCACATGGGTATATTTGCTTGAAGGGAAATATGACAAGGAGTAAACAAACTTAAAATCTGCTGAAATACGTGGTGGAGATGAAGCAGAGGGTGTTGAAATCACTCCTGATTTGCATGCCCTGCAGTCTCCGGCTCTCACCGAGGACTGATGTACAAGGAGATGCGAGCACTCTTTACACGTAGTCCCATGACATGCTGTATGCGCTCATTATGAACCCAACTATGCCTGTCCAGAATGTTTCCCTCCCCCATAACACACACGCACACACAAACGCACCCATATCGCACACAAGCCTTCTTCCATGCACGCTCACACACGCATCCACAAAAGAAAGATCGGCATCCTGCACTTGTCCTTTACCCTATATCCATTGTTTGGCTCTGAGAGGTTTCCACGGAAACCAGAATTAGAATTTGCCTGATACTTAAAGACGAGGCTGAAATGTGTTGTATGGCATCTGTAGTCCATATCGCATGTAAACAACTCGATTTCTGATGACCACTGACACTCATTCACTCACAAAATGAATGTTTATTGCACGGTTTGCAGTGTATCGATAACCTCATCAGTTATCTGCTAAATATTACTAGTCACGTTTGAATGAGAATCTTGAATTAATTATAAAAAAAATATGAATTTATAAGAAGCAACACATTAAGTAGACATATTTGAAATACAGCATGAGATATAAGCTGCCAGTCTGTGGCCACATTGATTGGACTGGCAAAGCTGCAGAGAAGGGCTGGCTTTGGTAGGAAACAATGTTTCTAAGCAACAGCATCCTGTCAGCTGATCGG